TGTGATTGTTTTATGTGTGAACTTGGCTAGACCCTAAACTCACTGCCATCAAGTTGGTGCCAACCCATGGTGACCCTCTAGGACAGGGTAGAACTGTCCCGTGCATTTCTGAAGCTGTTCCTCTATGGGAGTAGAAAGCTCTGTCTTTCTCCTGAGGAATGCCTGGGGGCTTCAAACTGCGGACAAGACACTGCTATACCACCAGGGCACCTGGGCTAGACTGTAGGCCCCAGTTATTTCATCAAGCACTAACCTAGGCGTTTCTAAGAAGGCATTTGCAGGTGGATTCTCCTCTATAATGTAGGTGGGGCTCATTCTGAGTAAAACAGCTTTTGGAGGGGAGACGAAGAAATTCTTCTCAAAGAATTTCTCAAAATGATAGGCTCAATTCCTGTCTGTTTTTCCAGTCTGCTTTTCAAATGTCAGATTTGCTAGCCCCCACAGTTATATGGATCATTTCCTTAATCTAAATATATTACTGATTCTATTTCTCTAGAGCGAGTCCTGGTGGCGTAGAGGTTACACATTGGGCTGCAATCCACAAGGACTGCAGTTTGAGACCACCAGGTGCTCCAAGGGAGAAAGATGGTGCTTTCTACTCCCATGAAGAATGACAGTCTCAGAAACCCACAGAGGCAGTTCCACCCTGTCCTGTCGGGTTGCTATGAGTCAGAACTGACTCAATGGCAGTGAGTATGGTTTTTTGTTAGTTAGTTTGTTTCTCTAGAGAACCTGAGTAATGCTTATAGGAACTTTAAAATCGCTGTGATCAATCTGTTCCAATGATTACCATATTTGCATGCAAATAACACTTGGCTTCTATATTGTTTACTAATCCCTCCTGTCCCCATAGCACCACTATGTCATTGAAAAAAATATGTTCTGAAAAATAATTAGCATAGTGCATTTACAAAACTACCTCTCAGGGGAGGAAGCAGTTGGTAAATAAACAATTCATGCTATTTATGTAAAAATACAGTTACTGCCAAGTTTTATTAGAATTTCATCAGAGAACTGGAAACTAATGAAAAGGAGCCAACAGAAAATTCTGAGACTGAAAAATAAAATAGGTGAAATAAAGAAATAAAAGGTATAGGTTTAAGACAATAGCATAGACACAGCTAATGACAGCATGGACAAATCGATTAAACAGAAGAAAATATCCAGATTGAAGCATGAGGAGAGGGATATAGAAGAGATCACAAGACACACATAAGACCCGGGGATCTTATAGATATGTTCTCATTGGAATCCTAGAAAGAGGAGAAAAGGAATTGCAGATGAATCAATAGTTCATGAATTTCAGGCTGGGGATTTTCCAAACTGGACGAGAGATACGAAGCTATAAATTCAGGAAGTCCTATTAACTCTAAAACTTAATTAGGCACATCAGAGCATAACTTCTGAGTGCCACAGACAACGAGAACTATTCCAAGCAGAAAGAGCAAAAGCCTACTACCTTCAAACAAATAAAAATAAGATAAAAAACCGTCCAACAGAAACCACCGAAGCCAGAACACTATTAAAGCATGTCTGCATAGTGCTGAAGGAAAGTGCCCGGTTAGGTGTCTATATCCAGCAAAAATAAACTTGAAGATAAAACTATGCTCAAACAGAATTTTAGAGTTTCTTAGCAGACACATAAAAAAGGAAATGCTAAGGATTATTATTTGGGTAGAGGAATATTACTGTATACAGAGTTGAATATGTGGGAAGAAATGAATGACAGAAAAAGCAAAGTATACAGGTAAATCTAAATGCTTATAATCCATTGTCTTTTTTTTTCATTGTCTTTTTTTTAAAGATCACTTTATTGGGGGCTCATACAACTCATCACAATCCATACATACATCAATTGTGTAAAGCACATTTGTACATTTGTTGCCCTCATCATTCTCAAAACATTTGCTCTCCACTGAAGGCCCTGGAATCCATTATCTTGTAGGGTGGTAAACTAATGCCTTCTGAGGTTAAAAATATGCATCTGTGCAATCAAACAGATTGCTACAATGATACATCATTTTAGAGAGAAGCCATTAGAATTAATGTCCTCTATGGTCTTTGCTCCACGTCTTGTCTCTCGGTTTGTTGTATCCTGGTGACTTGTGTGTTGCTGGGGTGTTGAAAGCTATGTCACAGGTTATTTCAAATACCAGCAGGGTCACCCAAAGTGAACAGGTTTCGGCAGAGCTTCCAGGCTAAGAACAGACTATGAGGAAGGAACAGGCTGTCCACTTCTGAGGAATTAGCCATGGAAAATCGTATGAACAGCATCAAAACATTGCCAGATACTGGAAACCTCATGACTAGAAGCAGAACATTGCCAGTATATGAACCCCTCAGTTCAGAAGGCACTCAAACTACGGCTGAGGAAGAGCTGCCTTCTCAAAGTGCAGTCGACCATGATGGTGTGGGTGGAGTCAGGCCTGTGGGAGTAAAGTTTTCAGTACCTCCATCTATTGATAAGGCATAACTCAAAGTGAGAAGAAACAGCTGCAAACATTAATGAATAATTGGAACTGGGACTATATGAAGTATAAATCTAGGAAAACTGGAGGTTTTCAAAAGTGAAACGGATGCACAGAGATTGACATTCTAGGCAATAGCTGAAATAGACTGGTATGGGCCCTTTTGAATCAGGAAATTATGGCTTACTATGCTGGGAATGACCAATTCAAGAGGAAAAGTGTCACATTCATTGTCGAAAAGGATATTTCAAGATCTGCCTTGAAGTACAATGCTGCCTTGATTGAACAATATCTATCTGCATACAAGGAAATCCATTCAGTACAACTAATTATTCAAATGTATGCACCAACCTAGTAATGCAGCTAGTGATGCAGAAATTGAAGAATTCTACAGCCTGAAATTGATCAACTATGCACTCAAGATGCATTGATAATTACTGGTGATTGAAATGCAAACGTGGAAGCAGAAAAAAGAAGAGTAGCTCTTGGTGACAGAAACAAAGCTGGAGACTGTATGATGGAATTTTGCAAGACCAGTGACTTCGCCCTAGCAATGGCTTTTTTCAACAACACGTGGACTTCTGCAGATGGAAACACAGAAATCAAATCCACTACATCTGTAGGGAGAGAGGACGGAGAAGCTTAATGTCAGCAACAAAAACCAGGCTAGGGGCTGATGGTGGAACCGATCATCTATTGCTCGTATGCAACTTCAGTTTACAGCTGAAGAAAATTAGATGCAACACAGTTCCAGTCAAAACTCCAGAATTTATCTTGAGGATATTGACAGATTCTAAAATTTATATGGGGTGACAGAAGAGCCCGAAAGGCAACACGGCACCGATGATGAATAGAGTTGGAGGGTGATTGAAAAGAAAGCCATTTCATGTTCATGGATCACAAGATTCGATCTGGTAAAGAAGGTCATCTTCCCCAAATTCATCTACAGGCTCAGTGTGATCCCTTTAAAGATCTCAGCTGGCTTTTGGGGGCACGTGTGGATAAACTTATGTTAAAGTAATGCAAATGCAAAAGACAAGAGTAGCTGAACGAATCATGTAGCTGCTCACACCACAAACTCAAGGGAGTGGAAGAATGGGACACCGTCTGCGAAGTAGGTGTGACTCCCTTCAAAAAACAGTATTTTTAAAGAAAAACAATCGAATTAATATTTAGAAGTCCCGCTGCCAATTTTTGGAAGTATGAGAGAGGAACATTTTCAACTCCATTGGCTAAGTTGGCAAACTTAACAAATTGGCAAAATCCAGACTGGTAGGAAAGGAAAACAATTAACCAAGTTTCATTAAGAAATTAATCATTCAAAAAATAGAGGAGGGGCTAAACTTATGGATACAAAGAACCTTTTAAAAAAGACTATCAACCAGTTGCAATGTATGTATTTATATCCTGGTGAGATTATTGGGAAATGAAGTGTAGTTCGATATTTGATAGTAATAAGTAATTGTGTGGTCCAATTTAAAGATTATTTATCTTTAGAGATGCACATGAAAATATTTTTAGATTAAAAATAATGGGTGGGTGGGGGTGAGTGTGGATAGAGGTGAAAAACGGTTTGCCATGAATGGGTTATTATTCAAGCTCCCTGATGAGTACTGGAAAATTGATTACATTATATCTATGTTTGTATGTGCTGAACCTTTCCAATCAAATTTAAAATGGAATAGAAAAAAATCACTTGAAAATATTTCAAAAGAATAGAGAACAGAAAAAACAAACAAAAGAATAGAGAACAGGAGGTGAGAACTTTGATCAGCCAAGAGAAAGGGAATGAATGAGCCAGTGTCCAGAATGATTCCCACCCTCAGATAGGAGCCAACGAAGAGATGGGCGGATTGGTCTTTAGAAGTACAGATCGTTGTAACGTGACCCACAGCAGAGTCCCTTCAATTACCAGGTTCCTGAGGACACAGATCTTATTTTACATCAGTTTGTGTGGGTTCAGCACTTTAGATTATGCCTTACCGATGCTATTGGTCCCTCCATTATAGGGAAGATAGGCTATAGACCTTGATTAAAAAAAATGTGAGGGAAAAGTATTATTTACTGTACACTAGACACTGTGGAAGGCCTAATTAACAGTCTTCACCATGATTATGAGGCAGGTGTTATGTAGGAAATTGAGATACAGAGTAAGTCACTCAGCTGGTAAATAATGAAGTTAGAGTCAAATCCAGGCCTTGCTGACTACAAGCCCACTCCTCCTCCCCCACTACATCATCCTGCTTGAAAGTAGGCCTGGAGTTCATCCTGAAGAATGGGAAACTTTGTGTTTTATACAGAAGATATTACACTATCAAGATCACTTCCAGGTAAAGGAGAAAGCAGTCTGTTCGGGGACCTCCTGAACTAACTTGGGGCAGTTAGCAGAGCACAGCCCTCTTTCTTGAGCACATTCAAATACGTGTTGTTGTTTGGGGGGGGTTGTTGAGGATTTAAAATTGAACAATGCTAAATAGGTATGTCTAGATACTGCACAAATATTTTAACTTTTTGTGTCTTTTTTTCTAACAGATATTGAAATACTTCATGAGATATTTATTAACATTGAATCCAAGGATCAGAGGTTACAAAAAGTTAAAGTAATCCTGCTTCTACCTCGTTGTTCAGGACTGGGTGTTAGTAATCCAATAGAATTTATTTTAAATGAGCATGAAGGTACTTGTTTACTTTTGACATTATTGAAATTGGTTAATAATAATTTAAAATGACTTAAGCTCATACAAGTGGCACTGGCATCAAAGATACCATGTATGAAGTATTTATTATGAACAAAATACTTCAGATCAGTTACCCAAGGTAATCCTTTATGGGAAGTGTGTGAGACCTGGGCAAGGGTGGTATCACAGAGACTGAGTTACCGGAAGGGTGATGTCATTACTGTCAGGTGCCAAGCTGGCTCTGACTCACAGCAACCCTCTTCTGCAACAGAATAAAACCTGGCCTGGTCCTGCACCACCCTCGCACGTGTGCTGATGGTGGAGCCCGTTGATGGAGCCCCTGTCTCAGTCCATCCGATTGGACCTCACACGTGTG